TAAAATTTTTCTTTAAAAATTTAAGCATTGCTCTACCTGCACTCACTCCAATCTCAGCATTCCCAGAGCGCATAATTCATCCAAAAGCTTCCTAAGGATTTGTTGTAGCAGTAACTGTGCCAGCTCAGGTAATCAGTGCTCTCCTACACCAGCTTACTCATCTGTTCCCTGGCCCTGAGTATCATGGGCACAACCCAGTTTGTACCACTGTACCATGAACTATGTATAATCCCCCTAGCAATAATCCCAAACAGCAAACATGGAAACAATTCAAACTGATTTCCAACTAACTTGCCTTCAAAGCAACTTTCTGAAGCAAAAAACACAAATATCACAAGAGTCTCCATATTATCTCCCATCCTGCCCTTAGAGAAATCTGAAGAACATTAATTAGTTCAATACTCAACAACCTAGAAAACTAAGCTTAGCTGACACATTCATGGATGGAAAAACTCCCATGTGCAAGCAGATCTACGACATACAATAAATCTAAAATCAACTCTGTACAGGTATAAGGCATCAAATATCTATATATTTTCATAATAAAGTCCTCAAATTAAGTAACTTGAGGAGTCTCAAATTCATCTCTTCTGACTAACAAAAAGACAACTAAAGCTTTCTATGTCCCAATTAAAGAAGGCCAGTGAGCTGCGTCCATTTTATAAAGGTTGAAGTAGTCTTCCTGTGTTTTAGGATAGGGAACACCATGCTGTTTGCCTGCTAAAGTGTCTATCTCCAGGGTCACAGATAAGCAAAATACTTCTGTTCAAAGGGCTGAGCTCTGGAGTCGCTAATTTAATCAGCTCTTGAAAAGACCATCACTAAGACTCAGGCTATGCTATCCAGCTATCAAAGTTTCACCCTACTTATACTTTTAACTGACTGTTATTATTCTTAAAAAACTAATGAGATGCCTAATTAGAGGGAATAGTTATAAACATAGGCAAAAGGGCCTTTATTTTTTGTCTAGTATACAGATTTTTGTAGTACACAAAAAAATTCACTGCAAAGTTTGAAAAAAACTGGCACCTTTTAGCAGAAGTACACGGCTTTAATCATTTCATGCAATCCCATTTCCCAGGCAGTACTGTGTTCCCCATCTCAAACCAATACAAGAGGACCTGTTTTCTCTAACTCCCCAGATCCACACTTTTATTGACATTGCTGGCATTTCCAACAACCTTACAGAAGTGATGACTGCAAACAATAAGAAATGGCTACATAAGAAAGAGTTATGATTCTCAAGATCCTTACTGGGTATGTTTGAGTCCTGCAGAATGTACATTATAAGCTCCACAGTCCCAACACCCCAAGACAACTGGACTGCCAGAAGAAACCAGGGCTGTTATTGAAAGGGTTTGTAAAGTGCTGAGGAAGTCAGCCAGTGAGAACAACCCACCAGAACCCACAGCATTCTGCAGCACAAGCAGCTGCTGATAGCTGCACAAGTATGACATGACAAAATCCAATTTTCCTTATGCAGAGCTGTGTCCTGTGGGTCTTCTCGCCAGTGACAGTCTCCATCCTTTACTAACAGAGAACTTCAGAAGACTGGGGATGAGAACCAGTCATACATACCAGAGAGCAAAGTAACAAACAGAACACAGAGAACTATTAACATCTCAGCCTTCAAAATCATCTTCAGTCTTGATGGTAGACAATTACAATGATGCCTTGGGATAGCTGCTATGTTAAAAGTGAGCGGTGAGAAACATATACAGATTATTTCAATAATGTATAATGACTCTCAGACCAAGAAGATTCTTAAAAAAAAAAACCCACCATTACCATTTACAGTTATTTCAAGATGCATTGCAATGAAATAAACTATTGTACATCCTTCCTACAAAGTACAGATGCCATTTATCTGGAGCTCTGCAAAGCCTTTAACACAAGCCCCCACAAAATCCTTCTCTCTAAATTGGTGAGAGCTGGACTCAGTGGGTGAACTGTTTGGTGCATAAAAAGGGGGTTGGGTAGTCACATCTAGAGGGTCGTGGTCAGTGGCTCAGTGTCCCAATGGACACCAGTAAGAAGAGATGCCCCTCAGGGGTCCACACTGGCACCAGTTATTTAATATCTTCATTAATGACACAGACAAAGAGATCAGTTGTAGATGGCACCAAGCTGAGTGGTGTGGTTGCCACACCTGAAGGAGGGGATGGCATCCAAGGGGATCTGATGAGGTTTAATAAGACCAAGTGCCAGGGGCTGCGCCCAGGTCTGGCAAATTCCTTGTATCAACAAAATCTGGGGAAGATCAAGAGTAGCCCTACCTAGAAGGGCTTGGGGATGCTGGTGGGTGAGAAGCTGGATATGACCCAGCAACAGGCATTTGCAGCCCAAAAAACCGTGTCCTGAGCTTCATCCAAAGCACTAAGGACAGCAGGGTGAGGAAGGGGATTCTGCCCCTCTGCTCTGCTGAGACCCCACCTACAGTGCTGCCTCCAGCTCTGGGGTCCCAGCACAAGAAGGACATGGACCTGTTGGAGCAAGTCCAGAGGAGGCCTCCAAGATGATCAGAGAGATGGACAATATCTTCTACAAGGAAAGGCTGGGAGAATTGGGATTGTTTGGTCTGGAAAAGAGAAGGCTTTGAGGTGACCTAATCACAGCCTTCCAGTACCTGAAGGGAACTTAAAGCTGGAGAGAGACGTTTTCAGAAGAGCCTGAAACGATAAGAGGGGAATGGCTTCAAACAGAAAGAGAGTAGAGTTTGGTTAGATTTTAAGAAAAAATTCCTTATTGTAGGGGTGGTGAGGCATTGGGATAGAGTGCCCAGAGAACGTGGATACCACATCCCTAAAAGCGTTCAAGGCCAGGTTAGATGGGGTACAGTACAACTTAACCTAGCCCAAGGTGTAGCTGCCCATGGCAGGGAGGCTGAAGTAGATAATCCGTAAGGTCCCTTTTAACCCACCCATGATAAGCTGGCAACTTCTGTTATATTAATACCTATACAGAAATACACGTTTGTCAAAAACAAGGACACAGTTAATCTTCTGAGGAAAAAGGAGTGTGCATTTACCAAGTTTATAGATTCTGCCATCTCCAGAATGGAGAAAGATGCAACAGCTTTAGCTGAGACCTAGAAATAACATGTTATCCTCATAAGATCATCCTCATAAGATCTGAAGGTCCAAAACCACACATTTCATTTTAATAAATGCCATTTCATGGTATTCCAGACCATTCAGAAGTCTAATTGTCCACCTAATCTGGAGGAAAAAAAACTCAATTAGTTGACAATCTATGATTAAGCTATAAGGTTTAATTCCTGTAGCACAAACTACACATACACATTCACCATTTTTTTTCTATTTAGATGACTCTTTGTGCTTTAGACCATAAAAACTAGATGAGAGGAAAAACTCCACAAAAATTACAAACCAATTACTGAGCTGTCACAGCTAAAATAAAGTTCTTCATATCTCACTGAAGATGTCTGTTTTGCTGAGACAAACGTAAAAAGAGAAAAATGCTTCTTCCTTCCTTTGATCTACATAGCAACACTTCTACATCAACCCATCCCTGTTTAGGTACATCCATCGTGGTCAGAGAAAGATTGTCCTCAAAAGTAAAGGCAAGTGGAAAAGCCTACCTAAAATCAAAGCAATAGTTAAGATCCTTATCACATTCTCTAATTAACAGCATTGCTTTTTATATCATAGAGGAGCTAACATACCTATGGTTTATTTTCAATACACATACTTTATCCCTGGCAATTCTGACCCTTCTGCAGAAATCAGATATTGATGTAACTCTTGCACAAATGACAGCTCAGGGAACTACAGAAGTAAAGAGGTCATTGTGGGTGCTGGTTAGTTTCTATGAAGCTGGTTTTTACTAGTCTTGCTTACCAATTCTGCTCATACTAGATTAGTCAAGCACAAGGTGCAAGGAATATAGCAGGACTATCTCATTTGCCATTCCTTCACCATTAAAGTGGCTAACCTGCCGTGAAAAAAATTTAGCGTGAAAGAGAAACTGAAAGGTTCTCACTGGGAAAACCAGAGTGCACTATCCTAAAGCACAGTCTTTGGGAGTGACTGCAGTAACACCTTCCCCTCCCTGCTCCCGGCTCTCCGAAGCGCACATGCAGCAATGCCACAAAGGGCACAGCTCGCAGCAAAGCCCCTGTGGTCAGGAACCTCTTTCCTAAAACAAGCTTTTAACAGATTTTGTCTGCAGATGCAGGGAACTGCCTTCACACCAAAGCGGGAAGAAGAAAGGGGTTCGTCACAGGAGGCCAGCCGGGCCCAGGGGCGGGAGCCGGGAGCGGGAAGGCCACACCGAGCCCGCGGCCTGGCTCAGCACTCAGCGAGGCGCTTTGGCGCCCGCGGCAGCTCCCCCCCTTCCCCCATCAAACCTTTCCACTCAGCTCGGCCGCCGGGAAACGTGGTTGTCGCCGCAGCTCCCGACCCGAACGTGCCCTCTGCAGATACCCGCGGGGTCAGGCCCTGCCACAGCCCGGCGCTCCAGCGCTAATCGCGTCCTGCACCAGGTTCGAGCAGCCCCGCACTGACACCGCACCCGCGCCTCGCTCGGCGGCAGCCGCCAGCCCGGTTCGTCGCACCCGCCTCAAGCGCAGTGCAGCCGCAGGGCCGGGGCGGCCTCGGGGGTACCCAGGCCCGGCCGCTCGCCAGCAGCCGGGCTCTCCTTCCCTTTCCTCGGCCCTGCGGTTCGGCACCTCCCGGCCGCCCCCCCGGGCCCCGCGGGGAAAGCGCGCCCTGAGGCCGCCCGGAGCCGTCGCGACGCCCGGGCCGGGGGAACTCACATGTCCGCCCCAGCCCGGCCCAGCCGGTTCCCCCCGGGCTCTAGGCAGGAGGCCGCAGCGAGCCGCCCGCCTGCCCAGGGACAGAGGCGGCTACGGGGGACAAACACGGACCGGCGGGGGGAGGCAGCACCCGCGCGGGCCTCATCCTCGGCGGCCCCGGCGAGGCACCGACACGGGGTGGGGGGAAGGTGCGCGCCCCCCCGCCGCCTTCTAGGCTGGTTACCTGTGGCGCCGAGCAGGAAGTCCAGGGTGCTGTGCCGCGCTGCTGCTGCTGCCATAGTGAGGTAGAGCCCTGTGCCATGCCTGGAGCGGCGGCGGCGGCGCGGCCCGTGCGGCGGAGCGGCCCTATATGCGCGGGGGCTGCGGCGGCGCCGCGGGGGGGGAGCGCGGCGGGGCGGGGCCGGGGCGGGCCGGGGGAAGCGGCGGGCCCAGGGACCCCGCTCGGCGCGGCCGGAGAGCCCTGCGGAGCCCTCGGGGGAGCGGCTCACCCGCACCCTCCCTCTGAAATCCCCTAATGGTGTCCCGGAGACCTAATGGTGACCGCGGAGCGCTGCCGGCGGCGGCAGCAGCGATGGGGCTCTGTGTGTCACCTGCTGCCTGCCGTGGGCACGGAGGGGCCCGCTGTCCCTCCCTGCAGAGGAACCGCCACCAGGGAGTCTTTAAAGTCTTTTGTTTAAAGTCTCTTTTATTCATAACTGTAAAACAGCGTGCTGAAGCCACAAATTACATTAATCACATGCAATTACAAGCCCAGAAAAATAGTACCCAGAAGTAGTTAGCTACAGGACTGATCACAGAATCACAACATCACAGAATCAATTGGGTTGATAAATACCTCTGAAATCATCAGATCCAACCTGTGACCGAACACCATCGTGTCAACTAGACCATGGCACTGAGTGCCACATCCAGTCTTTCCTTAGAAACATCCAGGGATGGTAACTCCACCACCCCTCTGGGCAGCCCATTCCATTAACATATCTGTGAAGAAATTCCTCCGAATGTCCAACCTAAATCTCTTCAGGTGCAGCTTAAGACTGCAGGTGTCATCTCGTCTGTTGCAGGCTGCCTGGCTGAAAAGACTGGGCCCCATCTGTCTACAGTCTCCTTTCAGGGAACTGTAGATAGCAGATAACCTCTGTCTCATTTTCTTCAGGCCAAACAACCCCAGCTTCCTCTGCTGTTCCTCATCAAACATTTGCTCCAGACCCTTCCCCAGCTCTATTGTCCTTCTCTGGACTCGCTCCAGGCCCTCAATGTCCTTCCTAAATTGAGGGGCCCAGAACTGGACACAGGACTCCAGGTGTGGCTTCACCAGTGCTAAGAACAGGAGAAGATGTTTGGCTGTGTCAGTTACTAGGAGCTTTGCCAGCTGGCAAATTCCTTTAATTTTATTGCATGAATGAGAGTGGATTTTCACAATACCATGGCATCAATGGTTTCACATGATTCCACAATTCAATGAAGAGATTTACAAGTAATTGTTAGTGTGTAATCTAATGCGCTACCATGATTATTTCCATAACTTTCAATAAGTTTTTTTTTTCAGGGCAAACTTACAGTATCCTTGTTTTGAACAGATATATTTCCACACAAGAACCCTGAACAAATCCGAAACATTCACTGGAAATGTGCATCAGAAGATATACAGACATCTGCAGGTCTGTTGTAACTATACTTTCTTCAGATGGTCTTCATTTGACAGAGCTCATGCATGAGAGGCTGGGGGGGTTTTATGATTAATTATCTAAAATATACAGCTTTGCAGATTCACATTCAATGTCTTTGATCCAGTCCTGGATGCTATAGGGGATTACATAATTCTGTTTGGGTGGTTTGTGTATCCTTGTTGCCATTCCATCAGGAATTCTGATTTTTCTTAGTGCCATCTCTTTTTTTTTTTTTTTTTTTTTTTTTGACAACCAAAATCAATGCCTCCTTGCTGCCAACTTCAGTCTCTCTCTACATTTTTTTTTCCAGACATGCAACTGCCTCAAGACAGCCAGTAAAATCCCTGCTCTTTAAAATCTCTTACATCTCTCACCTTTGCTTGTGGCTGCTGCAGTGATTTCAGGTACCTCATTCCACAAAGGAGCTTATTGGATTGATTTTTACTCTCTTCAGTGGGAGCAATACCTTGTGTTCTGTTCAACCTATTACATTGTCTTTCCATTGTGGAATAATTGGAAGAAGGTAATAGTGATGCTGCCACCTAAGTATCTTCAAATGTGTTTGTTCATATATGCCAAGTGCCTTGCTAAATTATGACCTTACATACACATGAACAACTTTCCTGGGTTTACAGGGGAAAAAAAGGAACATCAATATGTCATCCAAATCTTTTCCTGGCATTGGTTTTGCAATTTCAGCCAACCATTTCAGACTGGCACTTAGAGAAAGTTGAAACATCATCTTTTTAATTAAATTTGCCATAGAAAAAAGAACAGTGGTCTTACTGTCTCCTTTTTTATATGATGAGAATTTTATGGTTTCATAGTGGGCTGAAGAGCTGAAAAGGCTAATGAGTCATTACAAAGAACAGTATGAAGTCTTTCTTTAACTTTGACTTAAAGGACAGTTATTATCCATAAATGGCTTTGCAGCTGCTCATTGGGTTAGGTGGAACTGGGAAAGCTGGCAAAACAACATGAACAAATTCAATAAAGGGTGGAAAAGAAGAAAAAGAAGAGGTCCATCTTGGAAACTTTGGTAGAGGTGTAGGAAAACATCCAACAAGAGGAAGAGACCTGCAATGTCAATATGTAGGAGTGAAAGCAAACAGTAAATTACATACAGTTTTACAGAAAAGCATAAAAACAAAGCCCACAGAATTTAAGCCTCTGTGTGAAGGATCTCATAGCTGAGGAAGGAACTAACACAACTATCTTCCACTTCTTTGGCATGACTACTCAGTGCATACTACTTAACTAGGTCATGCCTGGGATATTTTTGGGAATCTTCCTGTTGGAAAATTACACTGAAGGGAATTTTAAAAAGAGCAATTAAAATAATTAAAGGGATGAAGGGATTGATTTATGAGACAAGATCAAAAGATCTGGAATATTAAAACATGTTTCACAAATGCTGTGGAGTTTGGATGACATCACATTGTTAAGATTAGCACAGACTGTTTGGAAAGAGTTTATTCAGTGTGAGATTACGTGCGTATTTTGAAACTAGTAGAAACTGCAAAAATGGGGAAAATAAGGTCGAGGCACCGGTGTTTGAAAAGCTTTGTGCTGAAAATCAAAGGCAGAAACCATACCCTCTCCACGTAGATTGGACTAGATTAGATAAAAGACACCAGCTGATGATTTTGCACTGGCAAATAGTTGGGACAAAGGCTTTGCACAGTATGCAGTAACCTGCACTAGATGTGTGTTTTAGCCTATATAACCTTTGTTCTTCACACAGGACCAGAGCAAGCTGAAATATCAAATGTTTCAAGTCTCAAGTTTTTTTAAGCAGGGTGTAATAGCATTTTTAACCACAGGTTCCCTGTTCATCCTCTCTGACTACATACACCTTTGTTCATTGTTCTGAAAATACTTCGCCTACAACTGCCACAATCCAAAGTTCACCTCAGGAATAAGAGTTAAATCCAGCTTCTTCTTCAATCACAGCTAAGAAACATCCTTTAAGAAAAATAATTTTTTTTAGTCATGTTTATAACCAGTTCAGAAATTCATTAACTTCAGGTTCTTCTGAGTCCAGCCTAGGATTCACTAGGTTTACTTAACAAAAGTAGACTTTTTTTTCCTGAATGGCTAAAAAGTTTCTAAAGGGATGACATGTTTAAGAAAGGAGTTCACAAAGGTTGTGTTAGCCCTTGTTTAGGAACACTTGTATATCTCATGGCTCTATCACTTGGGAATAATGTGGCCATCTCACAATACTAATTGAAACCTTGAAAATAAACATATCTATGTAAAATGTACATACACATGAATTCTCTCTCCATGCCTGGTTCTCTATATTCAAAGTGTTGTTAAACATTAATGCAACATAATTTAATAAGCAGAATAACATGTGCAAACATACAACCCCAAGCTAAAGTGCCTGCAAGAAGATAGTACCAAAATGGGAAAAGCAGAAGCTGCAAACAGAAGAGCAGTAAAATTTGGTGCAAACCCCTGAAAATGCTTTCATCATTTTCACTTTTTGTATATGTGGCTCAGTTTTTGCCTAGGAATTTTCTTTTTTTGAACACAGCTCTAGTCCTTAAGTATTTGCTTATTATTGACAGAAGTCATGGCAAATTTTGAGAGGGAGGAGAGGGAAGATAATACTTCATTTTAGAAAAACATTGGTGGGATGGGATGGGAAAGGGTCTTGTAAGTTAATGGTTGTTTTAGAAATTATTTGAGGTGACAATGTGGTATCACAATTGTGACCAAACATGAAATTCACTTTGTGAAACAGCATTATCTTATTATGTAAGATGAAATTAATGTTTTCTAGAGGTGAACTGTTTAATACAGCTAAGAAAACTAGAACTGATTATTGTAATGAATTTACTCCTTTAATTCTTACTTTACTTTTGCGCCTGAGCATGTTACTGTTTACTAAAACAAATACAGTTTATTCCCCCTCTCTTGGATGCTTTCTATCTAATATGTAGGCTTGCTGGGGCATAACTCTAGAGGCTTAAAAAAAAGAAAAGATAGAAAATTTTCCATTTCAAATTAAATTTAGGCAATGTGGAGTCTACATCTTACTGGAAATTGTGAGAAAAATCTCTTAACTTTAAAAACAAGCTTATTGAGTTCAACAGGAAACTTACTCAGGTAGATTACAAGATGAATAAAGACTCTTTTTTTTTTTTTTTTTTTTTTTTCCTTTAATTCTGCAAAGAAAGACCCTGGAGAGTCAAATTATATCATAGGATGTAAGACTTCTCACAGAACAAGAGAACAATTTCAGGAAGTTAGCAAACTCAGATAAGAGTTAATTACTTAAATAAGTGCTACCATAAATTATAGCAGCTATTATACTCCCTGCTTTTTGAGAATCCTCTGCTGGATTTCAGCCAGAGTACTTAAATCCCTTGGGATTTCCTTTGGTCCAGATGGACTCCAGTCTGTTCCCTTTGGGCAGAGGTTATTTACCATGGAGGTGAGACCTTAAGTCCAGTCATGCCAGGGTCCTGGTCATCCTGCACATTTTCTTCAGGGACATCTTACTTGTGTTAAAACACTCACTAATCAGGTTTCAGTCTTGACAGAAGCTAATTAATTATTTTGCTAACACTGGGCAGTAGTCACAGAAACCACTTACAGACCCTTCCTTACCTTTTCCTTCCCAGCAGCATCCTCTAAGCTTAGCCCACCTTGTACCTCTAATCTGCATA